TGCGCGCGCGAGAACACGGTGCGAGTCTTCTTCTTCCGGCAGAGCTTCTTCACCTGCGCTCGAGCCTCCTCACAGTCACTGTCCTCCAGCGGAGCTTCTTCATCATCATCCTCATCCTCAGCGCTGGGCCCCGGGGCCGCACAGTCCGGCTGCAGTGTGTCTGCGGGGGCCCTGCGCATGCCTGACACACACACACACACACACACACACACACACACAGTGAGAGAGACACATACTCAGAGTTAAACTTACTCATCATGACTGTAATCTGACACATCTAAAGTCTGCTCAGACTGTCCAGTGTGTGTTTGTGTGTGTTTGTGTGTGTGCGTGCATGTGTGTGTGTGTATGTGTGTGCGTGTGTGTGAGTGTTTGTGTGTGTGTACTCACCGGCGGGCGTCTCCGGGGCTCCAGCGCAGCACCAGGGCCCCAGCCGCAGGAAGCCCAGCTCCGGCACTCTGCAGACGGGCATCGGCGGGCGCTCCGGCCTGCTCAGCAGGTTCTGGATGGAGAACGGAGAGTCTTTCAGTTTCTCCTCCATCAGGAGAGAAGTGGAGGAGGAGGAAGAGTCACACACACCCCTCAGAGGACCAGCAGCAGAATGAGGAGACACACACTGCTGGACGGACAAGAGGAACAACACCAGCACCAGCAGCAGGAGGAGGAGGAGGAGTGTGTAGAGAGAGAGAGAGAGAGAGAGAGAGAGAACACCCGGAGGAGGGAGAGAGGTGTGTGTGTGTGTGTGAGAGAGAGAGAGAGATAGAGTCTGTCTGTGTGTGTGTGTGTGTGTTTGTGGGTGATTTGGTTTCTGCCAGACTTTGTCGTTGAATCTCATCGGATCATTTGTAGATCTGTCTTTATTGCCTAAACTAAACACTGGGCTGGGCTGGGCTGGGCTGGGCTGGGCTGGGCTGGGCTGGGCTGGGCTGTTGTAAAGTAACTGGGTTAACGTGATCTTCAGTGTTGGGCTCCAGCAGTTCAGTGTTTGGCAGTAAGTGTGACGGGTGTGTTGGAGTGTTCTGCAGTGGGGTATTGACGCCGCCTGCTGCCTCTACACTCGGCACACTGATACTGGCTTACTGGGTCAAATACTGGAAAAGCAGCCACTGGGTTAAAAGTGTGATTTAATTTAGGTGAAGAATGAGCCCAATATTGAGTTTGGCCCAGTGCTGGACTGCAGAGTAAGCTGTAGTGAAGTGTGCTGTGTCATGGGGAAGTCCAGCTGCTCCTCACTGCTGTCACTGTACTCGAGGCGTGATGGGACAGTTTTCAAGGTATACCGCGGTTTGGACAAATCAAGGTTTAAATACCGTCTAAGCAGGGCCGGCCCAAGCCTTTAGGGGGCCCTAAGCAGAATTTTATTTGGGGCCCCCTTGGTGCAGACAATATGATGAATTATCATTAATCCTTGATTATTTGCACACTTTAAATTTAAAACACGCATTATCAATTTTATTTGCTGTAGCTGTGTTGCTTACATTATAAAATATGCTCTTTTTCTTACATTTTTGTATTTTCTAGTTCAAATATCTAAAAAAATCACTTTAAATCAAAATCAAATTAAATCAAGAAGCATTTTCCACAGAAAATCTGTCTAAAAATGTTTATTCTTTAAGATTTTCTACATATTTGGACTAGAAACAAGACAAAAACAATAAAAAGGAAAGAATTTCGCAGTATTTACCAACTGTCAATGATTCATAGTACATGGCTGTGAAATTTGATCACAAGAAAACCGACCATGATATATACAAATGTTTGCAAATGAAGAGTAAAAAATGCATCAAAAAGTTATAAGATGCATTTCTTTCATTAAAAGCACATGTTTATAGTATTGCAACTTTGTAAAAAAAAGCACACAACTGTTCAACAAGCTGAAAAATGCAGATAGAGGACTCATCTCTAAATTAATCAGAGCAGCAGCATCACAATTACCCTAGTGAAGCCTTTTAATGACACTGTAAGCTGTATAGAAGTGTCTTGATGAATATCTAGTCTAATATTATTTACTGTCATCATAACAAAGAGAAAATAAATCAGTTATTAGAAATGAGTTATCAAAACGATTATGTTTAGAAATGTGTTAAAAAAGCTTCTCTCCGTTAAACAGAAGTTAGGGAAAAAATAAACAGGGCGCTAATAATTCAGGAGGGCAAACAATTCTGACTTCAACTGTGCATGTTAGAAAACAGTTAAAATAGCAATGTATTGCTTTCTAGATTTCTGTAAACTAAAGACATTTATTACAACTTGGCCAACCTATTTGATGTATTTTATGCATAGCGCTGGTTTATTTTTAATCATGCTAAATGTTGCATTGCCACTAGATTCATATATTTTCTTTAAGAACAGGAACTGATTGGAATGCTCAGAAAGGTGAGCACAGACTCCTCTGAGCACTTATAATGCCTCCAGCAGTGGAGAACATTAGTTAATTACTCATCAATTTAAAAAGAGCATTATTTTTAAGTTTTTCTTTTTAATTTATCTAATATTTTCAGCAAAAATATCATCTACAAGACTTTGCAAAGCTCTGCAAGGGGTAAATAAATGAAAAACCCTTCAAATGATGTGTTCTTGTCCTATTGATATCTTTATATATTTTGGTGGAATTCAGTAGTGTGAGCCCATATTCCTGTATGAAGTTTCACAATTGTAATCGCTCATCTGTCAATGGTTATAAAGGCTGCTGCGTCTCTGATGTATTGTTGATCCACCATAACGGGAAGAGCCACCTGGTGGCAGCTGGGTGTACTGCAGCCACAGCGGTAAATGGCTGCAGTCAGAGTAGATTAATTAATTCAGATCTTTTGTACATTTAGATAAATATCGATTCTTGGCGCCAGAGCATATTGATATAGTTGCCCCACCCATAACATATAACCAAACTCTCCAACAAACTAAAACAAAAGTTAGTAATTTCATGCACTCTTGGGGGCCCCCTGGTGGCCATGGGGCCCTAAGCAGCCGCTTAGCTTGCTAATGCCTTGGGCCGGCTCTGCGTCTAAGTTTTCTGTAACACTCTTCTTTAGTCAGGTGTGTGAGATTGTTTCATTTACGTTTATTAGTTAAATATTAAATAGATAAAATATCCAAACATGCAGTTTTAAATTGTGCAGAAATCAGTGAAACTAATGAAGACAGCAGAAGACATCCTTCACTTTCATTATTCAGCCTGACATGTGCTCTGCTCCACAACATCATGACTCTTTCAGGAAACAGAGGGAAAGCATTAGTATTTTACCCATACATTTAAACAGAAGATATTCAGAGCAGTGAGCGCGGTACCGTGAAGCCCTGATATTATTACCCAAGGTTATCACACCGTCTTATACCGGCCCGTGCCTGCTGGAGACTTCTTACCCCTGAACAGACACGGCCACTGCGCACGGCGGAGCAGTCTAGAGGATTCACTCTACAGGCCTGAGTCCAGCTCACACACAACAGCCCAGCAGCAGCGGCGGGCTCAGGCTGTACCCAGTGTGTGTGTGTGTGTGTGTGTGTGTAAAGCAGAAATACTGCAAATGAACCTCCTCAATAATGAAATGACACTTTCCCGCCGTTACATTATATTTATTTCAGGACAGAAGTCTACAGTGTAATAGAGACATTGATGATAACACAGCGCTCTCACACATGTCCTGTGCTCTGCTGTGATGTGAGCGTCACTCACTGCTCATCTGTGTTTATTTGCAAACACTGCAAGAGTAGCTCATCCGCGCAGACTCCACACTGATATCAGTAAGAACTTTATTGAACATGAATCAAACGCAGACGCTGAGCAGAACAACAGAAAGAGGAGAGATACAGGTGATACAGGAGTACAGGAGTCACACTCAGCTCCTGGAGGGCCGCAGCTCTGCACAGTTCAGCTTTAACCCTGATTAAACACTCCTGATCAGACTAATGGAGTCCTCCAGGCTTGTTGGAGACCTGCAGGTGAGTGTGCTGAAGCAGGACAGGGCTGCGACCCTCCGGGAACAGAGTGACTCCTGCAGTAGGAGAACAAGAACTCTCATGATCCTCTGCTGCCCCCTGCTGTTAACAGCGCACACACACACACACACACACACACACACGTCATCTGTAAGGCACAGGCTCCATCAGGAACTAATTTAAACCCACATCTAGTGTTAACATGATTCAGAGACCCGCTGTGACACTATACACACACACACACACACACACACACACACAGAGAGCAGTGTAATGAACGCCAGGAGGAACATGGTAAAGTGCATAAATACAGAAGTACACTGATGAGTGTGTGTGTGTGAAGTAAACAGCAGATCTGGGTTATCCGCCGTACTCCTGGTCGATCATCTTGGCCATGGTGCTCAGCTGGATGTTGGTGGTTCCCTCATAGATGGTTCCTGCGGGACCAGAACACAACCAGTCAGATAACAGGATGATCAGGTCACGTCCCGCCCTCTGCACAGCACAACTGATCTTCATCATCATCATCATCACTCACCGATCTTACAGTCTCTGTAGTACTTCTCGATGGGGTAGTCTTTAGTGAAGCCCACACCGCCCATCCACTCCAGACACTTAGAGGTGGTGAGAGAGGCCACCTGCACACACACACACACACACACACACACGTGAGCACAGCAGCTACAGCAGTGACCGCTCACTCACACACACTCACACATGTAAGCACAGCAGTGACCGCGCTCTCTCTCTCTCTCTCTCACACACACACACACCTCAGCGCTGTAGTATTTGGCCATGCAGGCCTCTTTAATGTAGGGTCGTCCCGCCTCCTTCAGCCGCGCCGCGTTATACGTCAGCAGCCGCGCCGCCTCCAGCTGCGTCGCCACATGAGCGATCTGATGCTGCATGCCCTGCGCACACACACACACACACACACACGTAAACCAGCATGATCATGTGACGCACAAACACAGCACACACACACAGCACACACACACAGCAGCAGAAACACTACCTGGAAGTCAAAGATGCGTTTGCCGAACTGAACCCTCTGCCTGGTGTACGGGACGGTCTGATCAAAACAACCCTGAGCCAGACCCAGCATCTGCGCACACACACACACACACACACACACACACACACACACACACACACACACACACACACACACACACACACACACACACACACACACA